ACCCTGTTTAGGACTAGGATTCAAACAACAGTATAACTAATTCCATGAAAACAAGAGGGTATTAAACATGTGTAATGCTTGTGTGTTCTGGTAATCTGTTGTAAAAACCTAAGAAGTATTAGTTTTATTTATTTCCAATAACACAGAAATAACACAGTTTGTAGTATGTCTTATATATGTATCAATATGGGTGTGTATGTGTATATTCACACACACACATATTCTCTTTATTTTGGATATTTAACAGTTTTTCATTGCTGCATTATACTGTATGTAATACATATACAATGTGTGTTTGCATAACTTTGATCAGATATAGAAATAGATTCAAAAAGCTTTTTTAAAACCTTATCTCACCATAAAAGAAAAGATTAATCATTCTGCAGTATTCTATAATCCTACTATACAAATCTAACTATCTGAATCTTGAACTCATCCTCTCTCGTCTTCTGTTCATACATAATAATCCAACTGTTAAAAACTGTGTTTTTCTGATTTATAAAGTTCAGGCAATTCAACTTTGGAATCTGAAAGCATTTGTTTGGCATCAAGAAGAATGCTCCAAATCATGTGCAGGAAAACCAGTGGTTTTATCTTCTAAGACAGGTACTTGCAAGAACAATGCCAGATACAGCAGTTGAAGAACCTGTTTCTAGACAATCCATCTAGCAAAGATCTGGGGGTTATGTTATACTTATGGCACTTACAAATTGTGTGATAAATAGGCAGTGATTTCACACATGTCCCTGATATACTACATCTTAGTAAAATATTGCGTTTTGTGAAAGAATTAGTGTCTGACTTTGAAATGTACAACACAATTGCTGTTTATATCTGCCAATGTATGTAATAGGTTTCCATAATTTTATAATAAACTGATAGAATCAAAATGTAATAACAAGTCTGGAAATTTTATATATATGGATGTATAACCTAAAATTTGCATTTGGGATTAAGATAGTTTTACCAAGAATATAGTGTGTGATACACAATGATAAATGGATTGTTTTATTTTCTTTTGTCAGAAAGCTATTATTGTTATACTAGTGGTGTGGGGTAAATTATGAATGTATAAAAAATATTTTGGTAGAATTGTACAATGTTTGACTGCTTTATACTCATTTTTATCCCTGGAGATTTTACCAATGCCTATTGCTACCCATCTGGCAGGATACTCATAAACAATCTCCAAACTCTATATTGTCAGTGCTTAAATATGTATCATTAACTTTATTGTGATAGCTGTTTTATAGATGTTTTCCTCTAGCATTATTGATTTGGAAAGGTTGGCATACAACACTGTATTGGAATGAATGAAATGGAGAAATATCTCATGTAATTGATTACTAGCTATGTAACCTTGCAGTTAATGGTAGCGTCAGCTAATAGACTATAATGTCTTCCTTCGCTGATTAAAACTAAATGTTTCCTTTCGAAAAATGTAAGTGGGAATTATGCTGATTTGATGAGGGACATGTAACTCTATTTTAAGATCTTTAAATGAAGTTTACTGTATTCTCAGGTAAATGTGCATATAATTGCAGTCTTAGTACTTTGTTTCTGAACAGTGCTAATTATATTTTTCATAACTCTTTTGAAAGAAAATGCATTATTGTTGCTCCCTTGTTTTTTTATGATTGGCTGTTAGCTTTTAATGACTCTTGTGAATTAATATTTGCCTACATAAAAAAAATTATTGGTGAGAAAGCAATAGCAAATAGATTGTGTTTGTGTAAGATTCCTAACCAGATCAGTAAAAGACGTGGTGCTAATAGTTGCATACTATGTGAACATTTTTATTTAATTATTAAATTTTGTTTCATTTTTAAATGGCCTAACATGATGTTTAAATCCCTCAAGTGGATTCATTCAGTAATTAAAATAATTGTCGCATGCAATTTCTTATCTTCTTTCAGTGGGGATAGTCCTGAAGATGACCAAGACTTTGGAAGGATTATAAGTAGTATTATATTCTTCTTATTGTATAGATAGATTTTCAGAAATGAAGATCAAACTCAATCAATCCTATCCAATGGTACTCATAGAAATTATAATAGAATTGCCCAGTTCTGTTTTCTGTGTTTTAGAGATAGGAACACTTCAAAAATGATTAAAAAGTTGGGCTAAAAACTGCATACCAGCCCGAGCAGGACATTATTCTGCTGTTAATAATCCCCTTCCTCCGCCAGGCTTCCAGACCAGTCTTCAAATGGAGCATCTGCATTAAATACAAGTTTTATTAATGTCAAACTAACTCATAAAGCAACTGCATCTTTTTTTCAGATACACCCAGAAGCCTGAAAGAAGAGTTGTTTAAATGAATAGCACAGTGCTGCTGTGCTTGTATAAGATCTGAAGCATTTCATCTAAATCAGGAGTTCCCAATCTCCAGGCCTTGGCCCATTACTGGGCCGCAACCTGTTGAAAACCTGGCAGCGGGAAGATGGGCAAGCAAGCCTGTGTGAAGCTCCAATTGTGTGAGCGGTGTCCAGCTCTGTGTGCGAGCACAAGTGCCTGCCACTCTTGTGACTGAAGCTTTGCGCGTGAGTGCCAGTGCTCTCCTCTTGTGCAAGTGGAGCTTTGAATGCAAGCACAAGCGCCCTCCGCTTGCCTGCCACTCACCTGCACCCCCACCCTGGGCCGAGCTCCCAAGCTGGAAAGCACGCACAACCCGAAGGTACTTTGTCACTTTATCTACACAGTTTAATATGAGGTTATATATATTAGAATATTTGAGATGTTCTCCAAATAGCAACAGAATTAGCCTAGATAGTACTTTGTGTGCATTTCATATCTTTCAATTACTCCTGGTTGTATTTTGCAGTTTGAAAATATAGTTTCTGTTCTCAAAAAGAAAATGTAGCATGCAAAATTATTTTTTAAAAGACTACATGGTGCATTCCATTGTAGATACAAAGCATAGTTTAAGCTTGGTAATGTACTTCGAGGAAAATACAGTTTCAATTTAAAATTGATTATCTATAGATGTCAGTCCAGCCTTTTGCACAACATTCATACTTGTAAAGTTATACTTTTCAGTGGAGTTTTTATCATTTTACATGCTGTGATTTTAATTCTTAGGGTTCAAGTAAATAATTAAATAGTAAGGTATATCCTATTGTTTCCTGTACATAAAACTCCCCCCGTTTTCTGGGATATACAGTAATAGCAACTCTTGCACTTTCATAATGTTCTGTGTAAGTTTGTTACTCTTATAGTTTCAGGAAGCAATATCTCCATGCAGATGTTATTTAATTGTCATTAATATGTATTTCTACTTTGGACTATGCTTTGGACTGAAATTAAATATGTTTTGTCTCTTAATCTTCTCTAAAAAAGATGCCAACAGAATACAGACTTTCCTATCAAATTCCGTCAAGTCTGATTCACATCGTTACTTATTGAGCTTCTTTAGTATTTATTTCAGTGGAATTTGATCTTTTATTAAAATAAAGTTAATAGAAAACATTAACTAATTATTAGTGCTGATAAACAACTAAACATAAAGACTGAGTTCAATCATGAATTCCTCTATGGACTAAAAATAATAAAATTAGGCCTCATTTACAGCTGCTTGAATAATCACATTTGTCTTTCACTATTAGTTCTTACATGCTGAAATGTTTTAAGGTGCATGCTCTTAGGTTATATCAAACCAAAGATACTGTATTTCTTGGGCAGTTGAATAACATTCTTTTATTAATTATTATAATGTCTCTATTTTATTTATGAAGCAGAATCAAACAGCTTAAAGATTTTTTTGGAAAACATTAGGATGATAATTGGTAGATTTATTTCCTACCAAGTGGTTTGGTTTTGGTTTACCACCATGAAAGGTGGGAGATTATATCAATTTTTTTGCTTTTAAATACTGTTAAGTCTACTGCAAAGGTAAATATTATAGGTTTCTTTTCTTTCTTTTTTTTTTACATATTGTGTATTATCTAAGGAGCTTCCAATGGTGAAGAGAGTCACAGACATTGTCAGATATTGTTCATCTTTATAAAAAGAAGCCTATTTTTCCAAGTTTTGAGAAATCCCTTCTATGTCAGAGATTATAATCAAGAGTAAGTAGGCAGAATGTCACTGTAAGTCTATAGATACTATATGGTTTATAATGGGAAACGTCAGCTACCGAAGAAGAGTGTTGACCACAGTCATTACTTAGAACAGTTGCATATATATTCACTATACAGATGGGAAATCAGATGCACCTTTTATTATCTGTCTAAGCCAGTGGCTATGCTATTCTGGCTGGGGAATTCTAGGAATTGGAAGTCCACACAAGTTAAAGTTGCTAAGGTTGAGAAACACTGGTATAGATCAATAATTCATTCTTCCTCTCACTTGCCTGAACTCATTTGCACACTTAAAATCCAAGATAGATTTATCAAAGCTGCTTTATTCTTCACTATCCATGACAATAGTCCTTACACATCTTCAATGTTGGCCTCTCATTTTCTGTTCTCCTATTGGGCCAGCAAGAAAAGAAGCAATGAATCACTTTTTTGAGCTACTTCATACCCTAAAGGATAATAGAACTCTGCTTTGTGCTTTCATAACAGTAATAAATTTTGTAGATTTTCTCTCCATTATAATTATTCCTTTCTCCTGATCGGTTTTTTTGAGAGCAGGTGAGATATTCTTTGAAAATGTAAGGTTTGCTTCAGAATTATAGCACTGGTCTAGCAATTCAAGTAGATTATAGGGGCTGCACAGCTATAAGTTGTTCTTTCTCTACTTTATGAGCAGTTGAATGACTTCTATAACCAACACAATCCCTATGAATATGCAGAAATCTTCTTTTCACAGAAGAGAATAGGAGGAAGAATCTCTGCAACCATAGTCTTTGGGTACACTGTTTCTTCTTAATCATCATCATGCTAGCTCAAGACTGAACTTGAGCTTAGCAAGAAAGATAAAAAAATCTATTGATTTAATAGAGTGGAATTATTTTTTTCCCAGTTTGGTCTCAGTTCAACATATGAAGTACAGAATAATTTCTTATTATTTCCATTTTCTGCCACAAAAGCTGGTTGGCTTTATTGATCTCACAGGAAAAAAAAATCATATCAGCAGCAAATACACCGATGCCCACAAAAGTATTTTTTTTAAAAAAATCCTTTTTAAGATGCTAACAAATTTACTTACAAACACCTATATTTATTATTTCATAAATAGGCGCAACAGCTTCCATAAAAAAAGATTAAATACAGACACAGGATGAAGAAACAATAATACAGAACCATATGTAAAGATTATAATTTAGCTGTTTCCAATCTGTTTCTGCATCTAATAAAATATCAAGAAAGCATTTGGCAGTTTTATACATAAGAGGACGTAAATGACATTTACTAACTGTTACACATAAAGTGATAAAAAAGCAGTTTTAGGCAGTACAAAATAAATGTGTTTGCTCTTTTCCCAATATCATTTTTTTCTTTGTATAATTAATGACACAAACCCAATTTCTGTTTAATTAAATTCATTTGGGAATAATTTTCATCTTTCTTTTCAGAGTTTGAAAATATAGAACTATTAGTCAGTTGCTTAAAAATGAAGTAAAAATATGAATGTTTGCCAATTTAACCCCCTTTGTGAAATCAATAAACTGGAATGAGCCAGTTTCAAAGTACAATTAGCTACAAAAAACATTCACATTTTATACTCTAGGAGAGTGAAACATAGATGCTATTTACAACTTGCTATGACTGCTACATAAAGCCATTTAAAAAGTCTTTAGTAGTTTCATATAAACACCCATTATGAAAACCAATGGAAAATCCAGGATTTTTATCCAAGACATCTACAGTTGCTAAGGCAGTTACTAGCGCAGCACTTCACAGCAAAAATAAAAACCAACAAAATCCAAATGGTCCAATCCTCCTCCTGCAAGGAAGGAAGAAAAGCAATGTCCATTTAAGGAAGGAGAAAGAAAAAGAAAGGAGGGGTGGAGGAACAAGACATTTTTTTCCCAGAGTGAATGACCCACCAGCAAAAATAGTCCTAAGTGCTTAGCGACCTTATATGTTCTAAATAAATGCAGAACTGCCTTGACTGCATAAAGCAATCCATGATGAAAAGACTTCCCTGCATTCCTCAGCGAAAAGAAGAGATGCATTTCCAGAATATTTTCAGGTAAGATACAGTGCTTTGTCCCTCTGCATGGCCCTATTGAAGAGAGGAGGAAGAAAAAAAGAAGTTAGGAGTCACATTAAAAAGCAAATTTAAGCGGGGACAAGGGATACTGTTAATCTCTGAATCCGTGCTGTGATTTTTCAAAGCTGCTGAAACAGTCATACTATATTTCATATTCTCATTAAACTCAGGCAAAGCTTTATTTTCACAGAGAGCTCATTGTTGAAAGGAAACCATATTCTTTTGATACTGGAGAAAAACCCGTGTGGAGAAACTCCAGAAATTTTATTCTCTCAAAAGTAATATTTATTCTGGTCGGGTATTTTAAAACCTCTTTTCGTTATAGCACTTTGTGGAGGGAGGTTGCAAATTAATAGTTCTTATAATTAGAAAGTATTGTGGCTAAATGAAAATACAATCTTTGCAAATTCCCTTCAGGTCATAAAGTCCAGTTGGATGTTAAGTCTGACATCATAACTGAACTATAATTAGAGGAGTAAAGAGACAGGCAGGGAACTCTGCCTATGTAATAAGACATTATACTATCTTCTGAATCTGCCTTACAAGTTCCTCAAGTTTGGCCACAGAACAATGGCAGCCAAGACTCAAGGTTGACCAGAGTTATTTAACAAAGACTTCTTTATATAAGTTAATGTGATTGTCCCTTCTCAGTCTAGAATTTTTGAAATGTAAATCTTAGTTGTAGTGCAAGATCTTCTCACAAAACCTCTTAATTGTGGCATATGAAAATGATCCTTCTGTTAGCTATATGGACATTTATGCTAGCCTCTAGAATATATTTGTTGTATAAAAATGAAAATGCCTGAGTCCAGTTTTTGTTTTAAATGCTACTCAATGCCAGGTGGCATACACAGCCTGCTCACCCATTACTGCAGTAATCATTATTCCATTCCACAGTCTGTGCTGGGGGATTTCTGCACCCTGAACGAACATATTCCATTGCTTGGGTAACAACTTGTGCAGCTGTAGATGCTGGATTGATAATATTCTGATAATCAGGCTGGAGAGTAAAACCCTAGAAACAAAAACAAAATAAAACAAGGTTTAATTATGAAAGCTAACCTCTCAATTGAAAGGCTTGATAAAGTACCGAGTTGTTCTTCGCCATTCTGAAACTTGCAGCAAAAGAAAAATAGATGGGCACTTGTGGTTTCAGACAATAATTTTAATTGGTTAAGACAAATGCCAGACAACAAATTGCAATCATGTAGAGAGAATGTTGAGACAAAGAACAAAAACATTTTAAAGCTTTAAAAAAAAAACCAAAAAGAAAAAAAAAAAAACCCAGGACATTCAACATGAGAAAATAAAAGAAAGGTCTGTGTGTTTCTTGAAGCTCATATTTCAATTCAATCCAAGGATATTCTATTAGTTAATTCCAAGAATATGCAACAGAATCTTTTTGAAGGAGGCAGGCAGCAGGTGGCTGAGTGTTTTATTAGACTACACCTATTCACAATTATTGTTCTCAAACCCCTTTTATTTGGTTCAGCCACAAAAGGACCATCTGCTGCTTCCTTTATTTGCACTTCTTTCTCAACTACACAAAAAAAATCAACTAAAGCTTTTTAACCGTTGTTAGACTAATGTAGCAAAAAAACCAACAGCCCTCCCCCTCTAACCCCCCACTTGCTGTTGTTTTCAACATGTTTAAATGTTTTCCAAATCAGAAAGCTGATCAGATTTTCAAGAACGCTTTATTGCCAAAAAGCCAGGAGACCTGCTTTATTGTGTATCATAATAGACCAACTAATTTTCACCGGAGAAAATAGAACAAACCAGACTAAAAAGAAACTTCCCAAGGACATCAGAGGATGATACATTAAGTAAATGTTCCGTTTAACTGAGCAGAACAAATTTGTCAGAAATTTCACTCTCTTCTCACTAGTTTATATTTGGCAAACAGAATAAATACCTAACTTAAACCAACAGGTTTCTAACTGACTATTTATCTTATTATTTCATGAGTAGCTCATGAGGCAGGGTTCATTTAACAAGGCTAAACTTTTCAAGCACTATTTATTTTCAGGTAGGCCAAGATAAAGAACTTATGAAGGATGGAGCCCTTAATTGCTCGAATATAAATTGCAATAAATTCACTTGGCCTATCAATGGAAGTTCTTACAGTATCTCCAGATTTACAGGCTCTTGTCAACTAATCTCAGGAATGGTTTAATATTATGATGGGGGATAATGTTTAAATTCAGCCGCTTTCTAATTATTATTTTTTCTATATGGCAACTAAAATAAAAAATATACAGCCAATATAATGATTGGGAAGGGAGGGAGAAATTCATTTAGAAAGTTGCCCTTCTAAATGAATTCCAGATTTCCAAAGCAGATTTTAGTTTCTTTATAAAGGTTGGGTTTTTTTTTTAAACAAACAAATAGGTTAGAAAATCTTGATATTTTTTGTTCCAGTGGAAAATAATAGTTAAAAGTATGCTACTAATATGCCTCTAATATTAGGAGTGGCTACAATATGAGTAAGCAAAAACAATGTATTTATTTTACTGCTGTACATAGCTTATTTGAGAACATCTGAATGTAATTTGGGGTGTCATATTTCTCTGAAACAGTCTTTTTAAAATTTTATTCCATGACATTTCTTTTTAATATAAATAAATCATATATGCTAATTTTTATCCTAGTTCTGTGATGTCTTGTTAAATTGTATAACACATAATTCTTTCCTAATCTCCTATGCTGCTCTTCCCTTAGGGTACTTTTTAAACTTTTCCACATGATAACTGTTTCTTTTAACTGCCGAGTTAACATTTAACTGCATTTAAATGTAGTATGTTAGCAATTCTTAAGAATGGATATTGTTTTAAATCTATAAATCTGTATTGGAGATTTTAACAGGGAATATTTCTTGTATTTTAAGTGAAACTATAATATTATAATGCTCATGTAATTTATGAGTTGTCTTGGGAATACTCTAAAACACAAGACATGCATTTGAAACAAAACAGTAATACAGTTTTCTCCAGGCAAATGTTAAAGATCATCTGAAGTATTCTTATACAGCAAACCTCAGCTTCTTTGTCCTTTCATTGTATGCATCAAAGAATGATTAATACCTTTTAAAAACATTGTGCTATCTAAAAAACTAAGGATAATATTTTATTTAAGAATATTAAATTTAACCAATTATCCATATATCATAATTTATCCTGACATTTCTGTTTTGTATAATCCTGCATAAAATTAACTTATTTAAGATATACAATTAAATGCCAGCTTTAAAAATTCAAAAGAACTAAGTGCATCAAGAAATCAAGTGCATCCAATAAATTAACTGAATACCTTGAAATGAAATAATTGTAATAACCAGCCCTATATTTATCAGTTATGCACAAAATTTAATTTTAAAAATTTGTAAGATTAATGTATATTTTCAATCAACATATCCATGAATGTGTTCTTTGGTATAAGATATCAAATCTCCAACTTGTGACCTTTATAATTTTTGAGCCTTTTCATATATGCATATTCAGTTTCCTTTCTTGATAATTATAATTGAGCCATGATTAACTGCATTTTAATAGTAATTAAAAGCAAGTAAAGGCAAGCAATCCATGTCAATTTCAGAATTCAATGGGCTTCATTGAATTCAAAGTTAAAATAAGAAAAAAATATAACATGACAAGTTCCAAACAATTAATTCATCTTACTGTGAATCTGAAAGTAAGAGCTGTGAACACAGGAGGACCTTCATTCATAGATCTGCCCTTCAGAATAAATGCGTCAATATCCACAGCTAACATTGGAATTGAATGGAGTTGTATTGTTTATACACAAACAGTATTTATATTTTGCAAAGGTTCACTTTTAACATGTTTCCTCCATTCCTATTATAACTTCCAAACACTGGATCAGGAGTTCTACTGCATCTCTGGTTAAACCTGAGGAACCACATAGAACAGGGATAAAAAAAACCCAGCTTTTTAAAAAAACAAAACTTGTTTTTTTTTATTTCCACAAAAATTGATCTGCAACCTTTGAGTTGCCAACTTCTTTATTAGTCAACTGACCCACTGAACTGGTTCACAGTAATTCATGGATCAAAGCCTGGTGGAAGGGCTTGGTGGCTCAGTAGACTAAAAGCATTGTGATTAACACCAGCTGACTGCAATTACTGTAAGTTCGAATCTCACCAGGCTCAAGGTTGACTCAGCCTTCCATCCTTTCTAAGGTAGGTAAAATGAGGACCCAGTTTGTGGGGGCAATAAGCTGACTTTGTATAAATATACAAAAGTATGAAGGCTATTGCTTAACGCATTGTAAGCCGCCCTGAGTCTCCGGAGAAGGGTGGCATATAAATCAATTAAAAAAAAAAAAAAGCATCTGCTGAAACAAGAAATTAAGATGTGGGGCCGGTTCATTTTTTTTTTTTTTTTACTCTAGCTCCTGAACAAATCAACTGCATGATGTATTTTTGAAATGTATGGTTTGAAATTTTTCTATATATGTCTGTCTTGGAACTGACAACTCTGATCAGTTGACTTACTTTCTATTTTTGTTCTTCTTTACTTTCCGTTATTGCTCTTTTATATTTTGTTTTCTGAACAAAATAAAGCTAGATTTATTAATATTGAGAACAATAAGCAAAGTGTTATTGAATTAATAGCCTACTTTTCTGCTTCTGCTCAAGAAAGAATAAATAAGCTGTCATTTAAATTTTTATGCATATTTCCTTATTAATGAAGAGTTTCTTTTTCTATTGTTAATTGCAAAACAGTAGGATAAATGAAAGTACATCCTAATATTTCAGTTTCTTAGATTTAATTTGACAATTTTGTTGATGTAATAATGCTTATTAAAATTTTATCACAAAGCTAATGGGAGAATATTAGAAATACAAACTGAGAAAATAGGGGTTCAAATTGTTCTTTTACTTACTCTCAAGAGCAGGTCATGAGAGGTCAGGTAAACTATTCTGACACAGAAACAGGTGTCCATAGAAAAGATTTGCGCACAATTGTTTTAAAAATCATAAAACTGAAACTCTATGAACTAAAAACAGTGGTAAATGTTATGCGGTGTGCCACCCAAGATAAGATCAAAAACCATTTTGTGGCATGCCTTGAATTTTAAGGTTCATATCCTAGCTCCATGCTGAAATAAAAATAGGGCACTTGATAAAGATTAATTTGATGTCAGATGGCACATTTGCTCTTTAATTAGATTTCTGTATCCCTACTTGGGGGTTTTGTGTGGGCCTATAGCAAGTACAAAAAAGCTTCCAGTGAAACATAAACAGTGACCCTCATCTTCCCACTTTACCAGGAACTAATTTCATTTCCTGCCTGTCTAGAGAGGTATTTTCAACAGGCATCTATGTTTTGTCTTCACAACTGATTTATTCATCAATCTCAATGTGATGTTTTTTTAAACTCTTAAATTACATCCAAATTCTAAAGCATCTATTTATTACACAAGGAAATTGAAAATCTGTCTGTGTGATATCACACAAAGATTCTCCCTTAAGGTTATAAGGACAGTTGACAGATATTAATGATTTTTCTCCTTCTTCTAAACCACATTGAGAAAAACAATGTGAGGGGGAGTGAGTAGTAGAAGTGGCTAAAAGGAATGAAATACAACCAAATGCTTCCTGAATTTTGAAACTGTAGACAAAACAAGCCAATATTTTCTTTAAAAGCTAGTGCATAATCATAATGCTAAAGAAAAAAAATTAGTAAGAAGATTAGTAAGGTGTTTTTTGGATAGTGGTTACATGCCTCTTTCCCTTAGATGTCTGTCATATACAGCACTATATGATTTCATATTTTTATGTGTTTCAGTATATAGTGCAGAATTAAGCAAGCACTTATCTTGGCTATTAAGGAGTTATTCTACTTCTTTCCATTTTCCTATGGTTCAACTCCATCACTGCATTCAGTCACTTAGTTTCTCCCCAAACTCAATACCTTCTTATTAGGAAATTAGAACAGGTTACATATGATGGTGCAATTGACTATGTCCCAGTCACTGGGAAATGATCATTCTCTTGGCATACCACACAGGAAGCCACAACATTTTAAAATCTGCATTGCTAAACCTGACTAGGAATTATGGAATCCCTAGTCCATAACTCTTTTGGAAGACACAGACTGTTTTAATTAGCTTTTTGTAATTACAAATATACACACGATATGGTAAAGGTAAAGGTTCCCCTCGCATATATGTGCTGGCGCCGAAGAGCCAGCGCTGTCCGAAGACGTCTCCGTGGTCATGTGCCTGGCATGACTAAATGCCAGACACATGACTGGCACCTTCTGGTCGCTGTTACCTTCCCACCAAAGGTGGTCCCTATTTTTCTATTTGCATTTTTTATATGCTTTCGAACTGCTAGGTTGGCAGAAACTGGGACAAGTAATGGGAGCTCACCCCATTATGCGGCACTAGGCATATGAACCACTGAGCTGCTAACCTTTCGATTGACAAGCTCAGTGTCTTAGCCACTGAGCCACCACATCCCTTCATGACATATTAGAATATATAAATGGTACAAATCCAATGTTGAAAATAGGCAATTTGACTTAGAGACACAGGTAAGAAAATAAGCTGACTCCTAGGCAGAACATCAATATTTAGGAAGGAAGCTGATCCCAAATTATTTGTATACTGTTTAAAAAATAAAGTATAGGGGTTGGACTAGAAGACCTCCAAGGTCCCTTGCAACTCTGTTATTCTGTATGCAGTAAATTAGCCTGTTGAATATTGCAATGCAAGAAATATATTACAAATCAAAATGAGGTAGTTTTTGAACCAGAGTATGTTTTTATTCTGTTTTAATGAAAACTCTATTTACATTTTACGGGTAAGTAGGAAAATCTACGGTAAATTACAAAAGGTCATTAGCAGTGCAAATAAAGATATCCATATTTATGTGATCTATTTCCTAGAACTCATTATTAAATAGTTTTACTTGAAAATAAAACGTGTAAGGTATACTTAAATTTATGATAACTACAAAGAAAATGCAGAACTGTTTTGCTTTTGAATATTATAAGGAACTTTACTTAACTAGCTAGCCGGTTGTGATATTTTTTGCTAATGAATTTCGAAGAAAATACGATCAATGAAAAATTTCAGATAGAGGCAAAATCTCTAGGTGAAAAAGGAACATAATAGATTCATTTTAACCATATATAAATTAAAGCACAGTGCGAAAAAATTTAAATGTTTGCACTTATGAAAAAGGTTAGGTAATTTTGGCATGTGCTAACTTAAAACATCTGAATAACACATAGAACAAGGATCAGACTTACAAAAAAGGATACAACACATGTAAAAACTTATTTTCAGGCTATGATATAAATAGATGGCACTCCTATTATACTTTGCCAAATTAAATAATACCATACTCTAACAGAACTAATAGTGCAACCCACCGTTCTTCATTACAATAAAGTAGTGAAAGCTAGGATCTTCTATAATATTCCTACTTCTATGCTATTACCCACTTCTTAGCTTGGAGACATCACTTGAGAATTGAATATAGTTGTGGTATATATTCTAAAGTAGGAAAATGTGCTCTGCTTTAGATTCAGGTTTAAATCAGAATGTCCAGCTGAAATTTAGGTTCAGAAATATAATGTATCAAGTAGGTTAAATTGAGATATAATCAACAACAGAATTATAATATGGCTGTCCAGTTTCCACACAATATTTTAAAACTGGAATGTTTAAATGGTTAAGGAGCTGTGCATCTAGTTGTTCTTTCACTGTGGAGAAAAATGTTCTCCAAAGATTATAACTTGCTGAAAACTGAAAATCTTCACCATATGAACATGCTCAATAAATTCCCTCCCACTGATGCTTCTCAAATGATGCCATAATTCTTTCTTGCAAGCAAACCTATACTCTCCACAATTAGGATCATTGCTTGTGGAATAGTCCGTACACCTAGAGTGACAGGTGTACAGAACAATTCTTTCCCTACAACTAGGGGTGAAATTCAGCAGGTTCTGGAGAACCAGTAGTGGAAATTTTGAGTAGTTTTGGAGAACCAGTAAATACCATCTCTGACTGGCCCCAGAGTGGGATGGGAATGGAGATTTTGCAATATCCTTCCCCCAGGAGTGGCGAGAGAATGGGGATTTTGCAGTATCCTTCCTCTGGAGTGGGGTGGGAATGGAGATTTTGCAGGTTCCTTCCCCTGGAGTGGGTGGAAATGGAGATTTGGCAGTATCCTTCCCCTGCCATGTCCACCAAACCATGGCCACCAAGCCATGCCCACAGAACCGGTAGTAAAAAAAAATTGAATTCCACTACTCCCTACATTTAATACTTTACTTCAGGATGCAGATGTCATTTAAGAAAGGTCAACAGGGACTGCTCATGTGCTGAGTTTCCTAATTTAACTACATAAGCTGATTAAGTAAACAAAAGAAATTATTCATGACATACATTGGGTGGTAACAGCTTAAAATTCGGCAAGAACTTACTTGTTGCATTGTTGGTGAATGTATAGCAGACTGCACTTGCATTGGCAACTGATTTCCAATGGATTGCTGCATTGTAAGTGTCTGATGTTGCTGTATACTGAGATGTGGATGAATTGGGGGACTCATCTGAAGGGTTGGTGGAGGAGTTACAGCCAGGTTGGCTATTGAAACAGTCACTGGCATTTGGTTGTTAGGCTTAGGTGCTATATTCCTTGGAATATTGGGATGTATGGCTGTTATATGAGGATTCATTCCTGTTTGTTGGTGGTAATGGGAACCTAAGTACATTGCTGAATGAGGCTGTGTGGATGCATGGAATACTGGCTGCTTTGGGCTCATCATCTGAGGTTGCTGGGATACCTTAACATCCACGGGTTCATTGTAGCTCTATTTAAAAAAGAAAAAAAGAAAAAGAAAAAAGCCCACCATCAATTAGTAGAAGTATGAGATATGCAGTTATCCTGAGAGACAAGACACTGATAATGTTAACATTAAAAAGAGCTTCTATAATTTTTTTTCTCAGTTTCCTGCATTGTTATTTTCTAATACCTGTATTATATACTTGATGTGCTCACATAAATGCAGTAAAGAGTACAGTATTAACTCCCAAGATATTGCCAGCAGATATGTACCTGAATAGTAATTTATATCTTAAGGAGAAGTTGAAGGAATAACTATTGGAATATGCCAGGAAAAAAAATTGACAAAGCCTTCCTTTGAAAGCATGTGGTTCTATGTCAAAACAAACAAGGGAAGCTTTCTATATGCCCTTATTCTATGACCTCCATGTCACATTTGGTCCATTTTAAAGTCAAAGTAACTTTAATGTGACTCTAAGCTTTCTAGGGTCACTGGAGCCTGTGAGAGCCATTTATATTCTTTCTGATATATGCACCATCACCACCAATCAGCATATATGCACATTATAGAAATTGCTTCATTATCTGTAATAATGTACACTGGAAAAAAATGATAACTTCATTTGCCCCCATCAAGCTTTAATATGATAGCAACAAAAATGTATTTTCTCCAGTAAACTGCACAAAATTAAATGGAAATGATAAAGGGAATTCAATTCTCTGTGTATAGGTAAGAATATGTCTTTCATTTCTGCAGAGTGGTACATATATATTTATGCACAGAGAAAAAAATATATTTGAAAAAGCAAAAAATACAAAGTGCTGCTTTTTAAAAACTAAGGCAAAAGTTGCACCAAAAAAGGTAGAACATATCAATGATATTTTATTCTTATACCAATAAAAATGGTAATAGAATTTAATTCTTCATAAAGTTCATTTTATGAGTGATTTGTAACAGTTGTTCCACCCAAATATTGCATACTATAGAGAGCTAAAAACTCTTTGAATGTTTTAGAACCCTGCCACCAGATTCGGAGTCAAAGTACTGATCCAAGTTATACCCAAATAAAAAAAGGAAACAAACAAAAACATTAATTTAGGAAAGAGTGGATATTGCCTGGAATCCATGAATACTTCTGGCAATAATTTGAAAAGGGAGAGGGATGTCTTTCTGTGTGTGTGTATAATTTCCACACAGCTTATAATGTTTATAATTTCCCTAAGGATAAAAATCCTAAGAATTTGTGCTGAAGGGTGAAGTTACAAGGGGCACAAGGAAAGCCACTAAATTGTTACAAAGTCAAACAAAAATCTGAAAGCTATACTTTTAGGATTTAGCAAGAAAAGTTTAAGTATATTATTTCAAAATCTAATATATTTTAAACTTCTGAGGAAGAGAAGATTATTTTTCTGTGTGAATTTTGAAGATAATTTAATCTTTATAAATTATATAAAAATGTATCTGCTATTCTATATTTCAGGGTATAAGAATTACATATATTTAGAAGAATAATCATGAAGCCCTGGCAGTCAGATCTTAGTTGGATCTGATAATGCATAAGAGGACATTAACTAACCATCCTTGTAATCAGAACTCTAGAGCGGGGGTCTCCGATCTTGGCAACTTGAAGACTTGTGGAATTCTGGGAGTTGAACTCCACAAGTTTTCAAGTTGCCAAGGTTGGAGATCCCCGCTCTAGAGAAACTTGTGAATGCAAATTATTATTCAGCCATCTTGAATGCAGTGTAGGAATCCTTGAACCAAACATGAATACATTATCTTTATGCATGATTCTCAGAAACTTGAGGGTAAGCATTTGTCTTATAATGAAGCTATTCTTCAGGGGTTGAAAGATTATAAATGATTTGTTACCACATATCTGAGATACAGAAATGGATCACAACTCAAAGAGCCAAGATGGCTCAGTGGTTAGAGTGCTGTACTGCAGCTATTTCAGCTGACTGCTAGTTCAGCAGATCAAATCTCACCGGCTCAATGCTGACTCAGCCTTGCATCCTTCTGAGGTGGGTAAAATGAGGACCCAGATTGTTAGGGGCAATATGCTATTTAGTATACTGTCTTTCTTGTAAGCTGCCCAGAGTCCTCGGAGAGTGGGTGGCATAGAAATACAATCAATCAATCAATCAATCAATCAATCAATCAATCAATCAAGCTTGGTTTCCATATTGGAGGTCCCAAATTCAATTTCTGGCATTTGAAGAAAAATAATTCTGCTTGAAAGTCTGGAGAATTATCACTCACTGTAAGAGTTGTCTTGTGGAGATGGCCAGCAAAAAAAAATTTAATAGACAGATAGACAGACAGACAGATAGACAAAGGAACTTTCTATATTTTGCTCTACATTGAAGTGGGTATGGGTTTCCTATCTTTTAAATTTCTTGGGATGGGTTTTTATGTTGTATTCTGTTGGAACTGGAAACATTCAGGAATATCTCTTCAACAGATGAAGTGACAAATCAACAGCAACAACAGCTATTGCCATTGGTAAATAATGAAAAGTGCTTGTTTTTTAGAAACAAAGTTACAGTTCACCATATCTTAAAAAATGCTGTATAATTTGTTAAACTACATGCAAAACTAATAAAAGTTGCAACTTAGAACAATGAAAAAGTTTCACCAGTATTTTAAACAATTTCATAATCTGAATAGCATTATCTAGAATGCTTTGTGAATTGATACTTTATTCTTTCATTTCTACATATCAAGCAACTAGACTACAAACCACTTTTGTACAATGACGACGATGATGATAATAATGATTCTGTTGCTTTGCATGTACATTGAGAGCTTTTGCACCAGTGACAAATTCCTTCTGTATCTAATCACACTTGGCCAATAAAGTATTCAAGATTGAAATAAAGCATTCAAGATTAATTTCAGTATCGCTGTTCATTTACCAGTGGCAAATTTCAGAATGGCAAAAAGGTTTGAGAATGCTCTGGCACATTTTCCAATATTATACCAGCATATATTTCTAACATCATTTTTAAATGAACATGGCTATTTTTAAAGTACTCCAAACAAAATAAAATATGCTAGACATGTTAGGAAAATACGTCAAAACAGTTGGCCAGTAAAGCTGCTGGTTGGCAGTTGTGACAATCACTAGACTGGAATTCTGATATCTGAAGTCCAATATTACACCACACCAGGTTGAAGAAGTCAACTTTGTAGTGACTATTTTTTATTTCCAGTCCTGCTCATAGTTTCAGCCTGAAAAATTCTGTGACAACTGAAACCCATGTTACCTTTGATACAAGGCTTGCTCTATACGCAGCTAACTGCTTCAGATATTCTTTCTTAGCAGCTTCAGTTTTCTTTTTATATACCTTTAAAAAAACAAAAGGAAAAAGTCAGTAACAAAGTTAATGTTGCTTTTACATAAAATCTCATCCTTAAGAATATTTTTATTAAAACAAGCATTATGCTTTTAATTATCTGCTTCCTATAACTTATTCTCACAATTTTCTCACAGATTCTGCCAAGAGTGATGTGAAGCATTAACCTAAGAACTAATTATTTAAAAAAAGAAAGGAAGAAAGGGCTTCAAATATATAGTTATTTTGATCAAAACTACCATAATTGCTAGACACATTATTACATTACCCTCACTAACAGCTCTTCCAAATGTGTTGAATTACAACCCCAATACTTTTCAGTTACCATGAATGAAGCATTTTTGGCAATGTATTTGTGATGATCATAACAAAGTTTTTCACTGGTTAATATATCAATCAAATTAGGTTCATTTTGATAAAAAAATTATCATACACAATCCTGATTCAATGAAATTAAATCTGGGCGGAGTTTGATATGGTAAGACATAGGAAACAAGGCTTAGCATGTTTTGCTACCTTTCTCTGCTCCCCAGGAAGATACCATTCTGCCTTGCTTTAAGGGACAATTTTCACAATCAACTGAAGTACTGGTTAGCAATACAATTTTCACCTGAGATGCTTGCCGACTCCAAAATAATGATGCATGTCTGACAGATAGTACATTGAAATAATAAGAAAGCCATTATTGTAATGGCTATTCAACATCATGAACCTGTCATAACAGTAATAGTAGCAACAGTCATCAGCAACAAACTCAGAAGGAAATATGAATACATCATTCTGAAAACATCAATTAACAAACATCTACATCATGTGTAAATGTCATGATCTAAAATATAGGAAAATTCAGTAGGCAGATATTCTGTAGCGCTGCATAAAATATCATACACAAACAGGTACAAACACTAAGTCTTTGCTTCTTTATACTGGAAATAAACCATGGATATAATTTATTATTTTTTGTTTGTTTATCCAATTTATATGGCTGCCCATCTCACACAAAGTGTACAACAAAACATACTATTAAAACATATTAGAAAACCAATTAAAATAATTAAAACAGAAATTATGTCTGAATTGGTAGTTGATTAGGATATTTTTGTTTAATGCTTGATTGTTTTGTCTTGGTATTGCTCTTGGTGTTAATTCCTGCTGACCTGAGTGTTGATTTCTGTTGATGTTCTGGTGTTTTTGTTTTAGTTTCAGCTTTTAGTCCTAAATAGTGGCTGTTGCCATGTTTACACTGTGTGTTGTAGATGACAGCCGTTTTTTCTTCTTGGAATAGTGGGCCTTTTTAATCTATTTTACTATGAACCTATTGTCTCCATGATGTATATTCAGAAAAAGGCTCTGTTTTTGTAAGTTTGCAGTGATATATTTCAAACTTATTAGGCCCATAAAGCTGAGGCATATACTTCCAAGTAATGCATTTCGAAACTATAAAAATATTTATGAAACAGCACTGTATTGTTACAAAATGAGTGTTTTTTATTCCATCAAAGTGATAGTTTTGATAGCATACAAGTTTCTCTTATCTTTGCTGGAAAAACCCTATGTTTTCTTAAAAGAATTAAAGATTTTGCATCTCAGGAAAATATAAGATCATCATTAAAAAACAGACGTCTTATGATTCCAAGGTTATACATATAGAGTGAAATTAGAATAATATGTTGATTTTAACTGTGTGCTGGCACGTGTACATTCTTTTGCGATTTTTGCAGATTGCAAACCTTTGCACATTTTGTTTTGGTAAGGATTTATAACAAGTAATCTTTCTGAGTTGATTGGTTGTAGTTATTGCTAAAATGTATTGTTTGCTTCAAGGAAATGAAACACCCATTACTTGACAGTTTTTCCTCTCTGGCAGCTAAAATTAAATTTGCCTGACCTGAAAGAACAGGCAAGAATGTAAATTGCACTCTCTTTGAATACATCTGCATAATTTTGTTATTTCATATTCAAAACAAATACTAAACATAATAAGAATAATAGATCACAGATTTATTTCTGACATTTCTCATTTCATATGTCCAATTAATGGTAGTTCTATAGAACTTTATACATAGGTACTATTATGGCAGTTCATCATATAGATACCATTTCCTATTTAGTCATAGACTATTTAATACTCGATACTCAAAGGTTAAGGATATGGAAGAGAGAAATTAATATTATTTTATAGCTGAAATATAACAAAAGATTCTAAGATGGAAAACACACCATTGGAGTAGTAGACGTAGCTGAGCTACAAGACCCACAAGTCAAATGTTCTATAAAAATCCACATTTCACTACAAATAGTGCTTTTATTATGATGTCATCTGCAAAAAGCAATCTGCCCAGCAACTATTTATTAACATCATGGAGGAGCTTTGGAGTTAAAGAAGTAAAATATATGAGGGGTCCATGGTACTCTCTGAACTGGGTTGTTTTCTTGCAGACATTTCATTATCCAAACTAGGTAACATCATTAGTGCATTGAAATGTCTGCAAGAAAACAGCCCAGTTCAGAGAGCACAAAGATCCCTCATGTCTGTCTGTCTGTCTGTCTGTCTGTCTGTCTGTCTGTCTGTCTGTCTATCTATCTATCTATCTATCTATCTATCTATCTATCTATCTATTGGTTCGATTTATATGCCGCCCTTTTCCGGAGACTCAGGGCGTCTTACAATGCATAGCCTTCATACTTTTGTATATACCTGCTTAGTAGGGCTTTTGCCCATCCCCACAAGCCGTGTTCTTTTTTATACAAAGTCAGCTTATTGCCCCCACAAACCGGGTCCTCATTTTACCTACCTTGAAAGGATGGAAGGCTGAGTCAACCTTGAGCCTGGTGAGATTTGAACTTGCAGTAATTGCAGGCAGCTGGTGTTACTTAACAGTACTTTAGTCTGCTGCACCACCAATATTCACACATTACATGCAATAATTCTTCAGCCTCATCATGTACTATGATTTAAACGTGAACAGTTGTGAATTAACTAAAAACCATAGTTGTGATTTAATTAAAGATCTAATTATCTTTAATTTAAATAATTTCAACCATCTGAGTAATTTCTGGAGAGCTAAATTCTCTTTTATCAATTTATACTGGTAATGGCATTTACTGCATTTACCACTCACCTGATCATTTGCCAGCATCTGGTACCTGCAATAGCAGATATTGATCAGAGTTGACTTAGACCTGGTCAATAAAGGTATCTGAGCTATGTGTGACTTGATTGGGTATATATTGCCCCACCCAAGATCTGGTACAAGCAATATTGATTAGAATGCGAGGCCATCTTCACAGAGTCAGATCTGCTGGTAGTTGAATCCAGATCATTATCTTTTGGTGCCACCAGCTTCAGCATGTTTATAAACTGTAGGCAGCTAGAGATATGAAATGAATGGCAGGTGCAGCTTGGTGGTACATAAAATACTTATGAGAGACTCTGCATTTCATCTACTTCTTTCTACAGATGCTAGATATTGCAACCTTCAATCATATACTGTAGATGTATTTAAACTCTTAAAGAAAATTGCAGATGAGATACATTCTCACCTATAATTTTTCAGGGTAAAAAAATAAACTGTGATTAACTTTGAGAAGCCAATTATGACTATTTTCTATTATTGCTGTAAATAAACTATTAGATATAATATCTAATTGTGTAGAATCCAAGCATTTGTTTCATTTCTCTATTGGTGTACTTTATTTGATGCATACTGTTTTCCTATTTTCTCATATCATTATCGTGCACACTTCTAAGCCATTTTATATCACTGCATTATATAGTCTTTCAGATTCTAATATACTATCTTTATCTACTGGAAGGAAAGAGCTCCAAGGTGTATCATGGTTAACAGAACTAGTTGAATCTTATTCACGTATACTAAACTATGTAATAGATGAATGCATTACAACTGACAATGTGGATGGAATGCAGAATCCCTATAAGTATTTTATGTACCATCAAGCTGAATGTACAATCATCTACAATTGATATTATAGACAGAAAGTGAAAGGAAAATGATTTATGCTGTAAGCAGCATTAGTAAGTAAAGACAACATAAGCAACTATTTGTAGATTATTCAGATAACTTTTGCTGCTTTTTTTACTAGCTCAGTCCATAAGCTACAAATTGGGGAGACGAATTCTAAATCTAGCAGCCAATTTCTCAGAAGATTTTGATTAAAGATAATCAGTAGAGATTTCTTTCAAAGATCTTGACCTTTGTGAGTTCTAGTCCTCCCTTAGGCATGGAAGTCGGCTGGGTGACTATGGACCAGTCACTCTGTCTCAATCCAACCCACCTCAGAGGCTTGTTGTTGTAGAGAAAACAGGAAGATGAAGGAGTATTAAGTATGTTCGCTGCCTTGAGTTATTTATAAACAATAATAATGGTGGGATAAAAATCAAATAAAAAATCAAATCAGATTTAGATGTTTTGGAACTGCTTATGCTGGTTTATAAATAATCACCCTTTCCTCATAGTAACTTATTTTGTGAAAGGCCAATTCAGGCACTTAAGACTTCAAACTGGAATCCAAATTGTCCTGATCTAGAAAAAGAGGACAAAGTGTTCATCAAATGTGTACAACCTAATAAGTATTTATAATTTTTGTTACTGACTGGGTGAGATCTAAGTTACTTTTTATAGAAAGGCAGAAATCAAACTATTGAAAAGTAAGCCCAACCATACATGGTGGTATTAAGACTTCCAATTATTTGAAAATGGCATACTCTCTTTCATTAACACAATGCTTGAGAATAAATTTGTGGATTGCAGTTAAAATGGCTGAGTAATTTGAGTCAACATTAGAAAGATAATTTTATTCTTGAATGAAATTCTAATGATCAAAAACTCAATGAATCGCTACATTCTGGACCAGCTCTGTCAAACTCCCGGCCCATGAACCGGATGTGTAATATGCTGACCACACTCCCGCCTGATTTAGTGAAGGTGAAAAAAGTTCCAATATATCATGTGACACCGCCCTGACAACGT